GATGCTGACCTCAATGCTGACCTTTCAGCACCTGATCTCAAGGTCTCTACACCAAAGATTGCTGGTGATTTGAGTGCACCCAACATTAATGCTAACTTGCCAGATGTTAACCTTAACGGCCCTGGTGTAGATGTTCAGACTCCTGATCTTGACATTGATGCCCCATCAGGTAATATCAACTGGCCTCATTTGAAGTGGAAGAAACCAAAGTTTCATGGTTCAAAAAGTGATCTAGATTTAGATGCAAGCATTGATAGTCCTGATGTTGATCTTTCCATTCCTAAAGTGGAGGGTGAGTTGAACACCCCAAAGCTTGACATGAACTTGCCAAAAGCAGACATTAAAGGTCCTGAAATGGATTTGCAAACCCCAGATCTTGATGTAGAATCTTCTTCAGGCAAAATCCACTGGCCTCATTTGAAATGGAAAAAACCTAAATTTCATGGTTCAAAAGCAGATTTAGATATAGATGGAGACCTAAACACACCTGATCTAAATCTCACAGGTCCAAACATCAAAGGGGATATCAATGTACCAAAAGCTGAGCTAGATCTTCCAAAAACTGACCTCACAGGTCCTGAGGTTGATGTTCATGCCCCAGATCTTGATATTGACACCAACTCAGGAAAGTTCAATTGGCCTCATCTGAAGTGGAAAAAATCTAAACTTCATGGACCTAAAGCTGATGTGGATGCAAATTTGAATGCACCAGATGTTAATCTTTCAGCCCCCAAGATTGATGGAGATGTTGGTTCACCAGAAGTTGACCTAAGATTACCCAAAGTGGATGCTAATGTTAAAACACCAGATGTTGACATCCAGTCTCCAAATGGGAAGATAAAATGGCCCACTTTTAAAAAGCCCAAGATGTCAGTCAATAAGCCTAAGGTTAATGGTCCAGATGTTGACTTAAATGCTGATGTATCAGGCCCTGACTTAAATCTCTCTGCTCCAAAGATTGATGGTGAGATAAACACACCAGATGTCAATCTAAAAGTACCAAAAGCAGAGCTTGATGGCCCCAAGTTAGATGTTGATGCTCCAGAAATAAATGCTGGAAAACACAAATGGTTCACTTTCAAGAAACCCAAATTTGGAACACTGAAAGCACCAAAGGCTGACATTGATACTGATGTAAAAGTACCAGATGTAGACCTCAAAGGGCCTAAGATGGATTTGAATGCACCAAGTGTCAACCTTTCTGGACCAAAAATCGAAGGTGGTCTAGATGCTGATATAAATACTAATGTTTCAGCTCCTGACTTGAATCTCTCAGCTCCAAAGATTGATGGTAAGATAAACACACCAGATGTCAATCTAAAAGCACCAAAAGCAGAACTTGATGCCCCCAAGTTAGATGTTGATGCTCCAGAAGTGAATACTGGAAAAAAATGGTTCACTTTCAAGAAACCCAAATTTAACACACCAAAAACGCCAAAGGCTGACATTGATACAGATGTTAAGGTACCAGATGTAGACCTCAAAGGGCCTGAGGTGAATCTGGATGCACCTGATGTCAATCTTTCAGCACCAACAATTGATGGTAAAATTGAGACCCCAAGACTCAACATTGCAACACCAGATATCAAAGGACCAGATGCTGCACTTAAAAGTCCAGATGTTGATCTTGACCCAGTTGATGTTAAGGTGAAGTTGCCTAAATTAAAAATGCCGAACCTAAAAGGGCCCAAAGTGAAGGAACCAGAAATGAATGCTAATTTGAAAGCACCTGCACTAAATGCCAGTCTTGACTTACCTGAAGCTGATGTGGATGTACCTAGTATAGACCTAAAAGCACCAAAAATTGAGAGTGGTCTTGATGCACCAGTTATTGATGCCAATTTACCAAAAGCTAATGTAGACATGCAAACTCCAGAACTGGATACCCCAACTGGAAAATTTAAGCTGCCAAAACTAAAAATGCCAAAGTTTGGTGTCTCGGGGCCAAAAGTAAAAGAACCTAATCTTGATTTAAATGCTGATCTGAAAACTCCAGAGCTAGATCTTTCTCTTCCAGATGTAGATGCAAAGCTGTCCAAAGCAAGTCTTACAGCACCTGATGGAAAGCTTGAAGCACCAGATTTAAATCTATCTCTTCCCAAAATGGAAGGTCTCAATAGTTCAAATCTTGATATAAACACCAACCTTAAAAAAGATGTCAATCTTTCAGCCCCTAAAACTAATATGACCTTACCAGATATCAGCCTTTCCACTCAAAAGCTTAAAAGTTCTGACTTGGAAATGAACTTGCCTAAAACTGATGTAAAGGGGCCTGGTTTGGATCTACCAAATGGAGATCTCTGCTTGTCTTCATCAAAAATGAATGGAAACCTCTCGGCACCAAAGTTAAATGCCAATTTACCAAAAGCTGAACTGGAAGCACCTGAAGTTACAGTGAAATCTACAAATGGGGCTATTAAGCTCCCCCAAACAGACCTCAAAGGACCCGATGGGCAATTAACTATGCCAGATTTAGATTTAGATACTCATCTTGGTGACTTTAAAATGCCTCATTTCAAGGTTCCAGCACTCGATCTTTCAGTTCCCAAGTCAGAAATTCCCAGACTTGATGCCTCAGGTGATGCTGGAATCGAGGCACCCAAAGTCAAAACTGATGCCAACATCACTGTTCCTGAAGTAAATCTGAATGCCCCAAAATTGGAAGGAGAGGCCCAAGGACCCATCGTTAACATAAAGGCTCCAAAAGTTGATGCCAATCTTGAGAAGTCCAAAATGCCGCATTTCAAACCATCAAAATTAAACTTTTTTGGGTCCAAAGAGAAATCAGAAGAGACTAATGCCAGTGCAGACCTTGAGGTAGATGGTAATGACTCAGAAATGAATCCACCCAGCGCAGACATAGCTATTCCAATGTTCAAACCCCATAGATTGCCCAGACACTCCATCGATGGCCTTGAAAACCCTGCTGATTTATTTGGCATTGCAAAACTTGCCATTGAGGACAAAGATTTTCTAGTCAGTAAAGGGGTTCGACTGCCAATACTTAATAAAGCATCAGACTCAGGAAAAATGATTAGCATCTTGGAGAGATTGAAAATGTCAAAGGAAAAAGAATCCAATGCCTCAAGTCCAGATGTCAGTGCCTCTTCAGAAGGAGATTCCTCTGTGGTCAGGGGAGGAACATTCAAAATAGAAAAGCCAAAGTCTACACTGGGCCTTGTAATTCCGGAAGCTTCAGCGTTGGATGAAAATGAGAAATTAGCCCTGTCTCTCTCCAACATGCTTGGTCTTAAACATGACGATCCAGATGCTGTCTGACTTTTGCTAGATTGACCTGAGATATTGGGTACTGGTTCTGAAACATGTACTTAGACCGGTTTCATACCTCAGTTTGTAATCATGAACATGTCTGAAGGAGAAGCAAACTACAGCGTCCGTACTGTGTAATAAATTTGCCTTCTTAATGAAGTTTTTTTATATAAGCTATGTTTATATTATTTATGCCAGCTTTATTTTATTTTTTTGCAGTTTTTTTTTTCCAAACATTAATTTTAAAGTGATTCTTAAACTACATGTGATCAAAGTGAGCTGTTTTTAAATCTCTGGCAAGTACTTTCCTATCGTAATATTTTGAATGAAGGAAATTTGTAACTGTATTTGTAAATTTTTGCTCAATAAAATCCTCATAGTGTTGGCATGTATGATTATTTAAGTATAAAAATGTCTTAATGGTTTGCATTCAAGTTATGGAAATTATAAAATCCATTGTAAATATTATTTAAACTCTTAACAATGTTTTATCATCCCACATTCTGTTTGTGACTGAACCTATTTTTCCCTAAAGGCAGCATTTTCCACCACTCGTGCTTTAATTTGCAGAAGTGTGGTGTCTCAAAGTGGGGTAAAATGACTAATATCCTTAAGATGAGAGAAAAATACTGGCAAGTTCAAAATGTGACTGTCCTTTTGTCTTTGACTTAAAAATTTCCTGAAAATTGTTCACCAGCAATTAAACCTTAAATAATCCACAGCCTGTGGAAAAGCTGCAGAAGTTCACAGCAGCTCAGTATGATAACCTGAAGCAGAAAAGGGTCATACATTGAACAAAAGATAAAAAATATAATGAAGATGGAAGAAAAATGACAGTGCTAAACAGTGAAGACTTGTTAGGGACAAAATGACAATGTACATAAAATCTAAAGCATTCAATAAATAAAGTAAATTTTAAGCTCTTCATGGTCAAACTCAACTGTTTTTTGTATTTTTCATTCATTTAACCTTTTAAACAGATAAATCGCATTGAGCCTCGACTCATTTACAAGTGAGACCTGTTTGGACAGACAATAACTTGCCTAAACTGGATGAAAGCATTTCTTCTGGATTATTGTGTGCAAGATTGATCTAAGCCGCCATCGTCACTATATTTAAAAAAATATTGAAATTGTTTTTTTTAAGACACTGGAGGTAGTCACGTTTTTTTTTCCTTGTATAAAAATATTAAAATCAAGATGGATTCAAGGTTTTTTCATATTTCTTTGACTTAAACAGCACATCGGGGAAAAATATTAAACTAATAGGAGGGCAAATTATGTTCCAATTCTAATAAACCTATTCCTTCGGAACCTATAATTCTATCTTGTGTAAGCTATGCCTTTTAAAAGCTGTTGCTTATTGGGTTTACCCCGCGCACAGTGCGCCGAACACTGAAAACTTCTAGTAGGTAGGTAGGGCTTTGACAGACTACTCAAGTAATCTACACATTGATTCTTAGGACATCTATTGAGTTTTTTAATTTCGCGTCGAGTATTCGTGGTGACGTCATTACGTTGCCGTTATGCCATTGCGTCACGTGTCACGTGATACACACCGGGGCGTCCTCCAAACAGACGAATGGAGAGGAGCAGGCCCAGTCTTGGCAAACAGGTAGAAATGCATCAATAGTATGGAAATATTTCACTAAAGATGAATCTTCCAGTTCAACTACCGTAAGTAAACAGAAAATGAATTAACTTCCTGACTGTTTGGAGCTCGTTGCAAATCAGTGTTACGCCATATTCTGTGACCACCGTATTTTGTGACTGTAGGGGGTGGTGTTGCATGCACTGTTGCAGGTCACAGAATATGGTGTAACACCGTGTCCAATCAACTGAACCAGAACCAGCTTTCTCTGACCTTGTTTCACAAACAAAAAGCAAAAAATATTAATCTCTAAACCTATAAAAAAACCTATAAACATTAATCTCTAAAACTAAACCTAATGCGCACCACAGCTGGCGGTGGTGCAAGGTGGTCATCTGCCCCACTGTTTTTAGTTTAGTTTTTGACGTCCCACATGTTTCTTTCACTTTTGCAGTTTAATAATAACTAATAGCTTAGTTTTTCCTGTGACTTATTTGCAGTATGATAAATGGTCGGAGCATAATATGTTTTGTTGGTCTTTTTTTGTAAATAATTACCTTTTTTGCAGTTTTATTTATTTATTTTTGTATCTTGAGATCCTATGATGTCATCAAGTACTCAAGTTCTACTCGAGTTTTATCATGTTAATGTCGAGTTGAAAAATTATGTAGGCATTCAACCCCTAGTCCACGACCACCTACTGTGTGAGCCCAGTCCGTTATAAATTGCATCTGGACTAGAGATCGACTCCCGTTTTTATTCAGCCAATGCAAAGAACACTACTTCTAAAAAAGAGAGAAAGGAAAAAGAAGAAGGAAAGATGACTTTCATAGAAAATTGAAAGTCATTCGTCTGTGCCCGGAGTGCCAGACTGGCTACATTTTTGTCAACGGACCTGCACGTCATCTGTGAGAGCTCTTTGGGAGCTGAACATGCTCACCAAATCATGGAACCGCTCTTTTCTTGCCCAACCTGCACCAGTGCAGCGCCAGTTTGAGCTCCTTTCCTAAATGGTAAATGGACTGTACTTATATAGCACATTTCTCTTATTTCAAGATATTCAAAGCGCTTTACACTACAATCTATGTCCTCATTTACCCATTCATACAGCACTCTACATCTCTACAAAGCTCATTGAACAAATCATTCTAAAGAGACTAATCAGTGCTTTAGATCACATTCACACACTGATGGGACACACATCAGAGGCTATGAGGGGTTCAGTGTCTTGCCCATGGACACTTCAGCATGTGACTGCTGGTGGATTCGAACCCCCAACTCTCGCATTGGAGGATGACTGCTCTAACCACTCAGCCACAGCCTCTGTGGAGGACGAATTTCAACCGAGGGGGGACTGTTCGCTGGAGGAATTTTTGAACTCCCTGGACTCGGAGCTAGCAGACATGTCCCTTTCCGAGACTGAAATAGCCACGCTCCATCCTGCCTTTCAGCAGGTTTGGAGTTGGTACTACTGTTGATGGACACCCCCACCCCTTCGACTGCCCAGAAGCCGGCCACTTCTCTGCTTCACATGCTCTCAGAGATAATCAGGAGGTTGGCGAGAGCCTGCGACCTGGAAGTGACAGAGCAGGCGGCTCCAGTCACGTCGACCCTTTTGGTGGGAAGGTTTGCCGCCCAGCACACCGGGACCCGGTCTGGCCCTGCTTCCCAGCTGTGTCTGCCCTCCTCCTGGGCTTGGCCGCAGACCATATGAAGTTGAGGGCACCGGCCGCCTCCTACGTGACCATCACAAAGGTCAAGGGGTTCATGGATCAATATTTTCCTGCCTTCCCTCCTCTAGAACCCAGCTTATTGGCTGTGTTTGGGGTAAGAGCAGCAAAGTACATTGGCCGACACATTATCCCTCCATCTTCCGGTGACCAGCTCACCGTGAAGCTGATGGACAAAATCCACCAGAGCTCATTGCAAGTGGGAATGGCGATGAACAACATTGTTATGCTAGCCCTTAGCATATCTAAGGAGGCAAAAGAGCCAAACCCGTTCTCCGCAGACCTGGACCACATCAGCACAGCAGTGGACATGATAGCCAACTTGTGCGCAGCACTTGCGGCATGTTCTGCTCCCATCTCATCTTGGACAACGGTGCTGCAGATGTGGCTGAGGCTGTCCCCGTTCATTCCAGAGGATGTGAAATAAGAACTTCTGGAAGGTCTGGTGTCCTTGGACGGCCTCTTGGGACCTCACTTCTAGTCTGTCCTGAACCAGCTGCAGTCCTCATCTAGCACCCTGGAGCAGGTGAGGAGACACGCGAGGAGACACGCAACCTTACCCCGGGCTGACCCCTGCTTTGCTCAGACATTGGGCTGCTGACGAGAATGGAGCAGATTCCATCGCCAGCAGCAGAGATGCTCCACAGCCACTGCTACCTTTTCTGGGGCCCCTCTGCCAGTCTACCCCAGAGGACAAATGCCCCAGATGCCACAAAGACTTTCCAGGACTTTCTGGGATTTTCTGAGGCAGAAGCTGTCAACAGACAGCCTCATGACCAGACCAGATGGGCTCATGGCCTAATCAGATGCAGGAGGCATGGAGAAAACAGCACAAATAAGGACTTGGGGGGGGCGAAATGAGCAGGGTTTTTGAAATGGGAAATTGAAAAACTCAGCTTTTTGAGAAAGTTTTTTTTTTCAAACAAGCTGAATTCAACTGTTCTGGGTTGTTTTGTATGCCCACCCTCCACACCTAATGAAAAGGTTAGCTTGGAGCAACCATTCAAAGGTAATCACCAGTTTTGGTTTAGTGACACACAGACAGGAGATAATCTCGCAGGAGGAGTGGCTGCTTTCCATGGGGATTCCTCCATCCATCCACTGCCTCCATCAGCCCCCATCTCCTCACTGGTAGAGGAAGCGGGCACTGAGGACAGTTGTCAGAAATCCCAAAGTGGTAAGATGTTATGCAAACTAATGCCCAAAAATCACAGAGACCTTTCTGTCTCCACACACTCAGGTCATGAACCTGCAGTCAAAGCAAGAGCTTTATGCAGGAGTTTTTCTCCTCATTTTCTAGACCGGTCGGAAGAAGTGAGCGATGAAATTTAACTTCCACCAAAGCTGCGTTTTTTTTATTCAACTGTCCAAGTCGGTTTTTCTCCCCAACCAGACACAGCCGGGGAGCAATGTAAGAACATAAAAACCGATAAGAAGCCCTTTCCAGGCCTGCCTCCCATGGGTAAGTGTAGAGGAAGCCCTCCCACAGGAAATGACGGCTGTAGAGGCTCAGTTGTTCCCCCTTACGAGGGAGAACACCCATGCGCGCCCACTTTCAGAGTGCGGTGCGGCGTGGCAAAACAAATACGTCATGAGCAGATGGTTGTACCGTCTAATTTGCAAAGGTTACACTCTGTAGTTGGCGAGAACGCCCCCGAAATTGAACGGGGTGTTAGAAACCCAGCTAACATCTCCAGAACAGGATTTAATCCTTCAGTCAGAAGTGATGGAGCTTCTTAAAAAAGACACAATCTCCAGAGTCCCTCCTGGAGAGGAGGAAGCCAGTTTTTACTTCCGGTACTTCCGGTACTTCCGGTACTTCCTGGTTCCGAAGAAGTCAGGAGACCTCAGACCAATTTTATATCTGGCATCTTTCGACAAATTCATTATGGAGTGACCTAATCACATGCTGTTGGCGAAATGTGTTCTTGAATACATGAC